TTATAATTCTAATAGAATTATAAGCTTTTATAGAAATAATTTTAATTTTAGTTCTTATAATATTTATAAGCTAATTAAACTTCTTATTAGTAAACTACTTTCTAATATTTACTATAATCTAATTAGAAGAGCCTAAATAAATATTAATTTAATACTACTTTTAGAAATTTCAAATATATAATATACTAATATTTTAAAGCTATTAGCCGGCTTAATATCGAGTGCTTTTATTAATAATATAAAATATAAGCTTACTAGAAATATAGAAAGTATTAATAATAATAGAATAATTAAAGCTAATATTATTTCTTAGATTAAATTTAAATTATTTTAATAATTATTCGAATTTCTAGTATTATTTATAATATTTTATAAAATATTTAAAAGCTTCTATATTAATATTATAGCCCGTTTATTCTAATATATTTCGGAGTTTATTAATAAATAAATAACTAAAATAGTAATATAGATATTATAATTTAATTTCTGTAAAAAGTAAAAATTATAAATAAAGAATTCGGAAATAAAGCTTTATAAAATAGTATTTTAAAATAGAAAAGAATATTTAAAATATTATATTATAAATATAAAGTATTTAGTAGAAATAATAAAATAATTAATAAAATTATTAAAATAGATTTCTAGCTTATTTATATTAGTTAAACTAAATAGAAATAGAATTTTTATAAATATAATATAGAATTATATTTATCTAATTAGTATTCTTATTATTATAGATTTAATAGATTTAATATTAAACTAAATATTAACTTAACTTTTATAAGTTTTACTAAATTTAATACTATTATTAGTTTATTATAAAGCTTGGAATTAATTAGAACTAGTAATTAAAAATCTAGAAGTTCGAGTATTAATTATAACTTTACAAAAGTAGTAAGTATTATATTTTTTATTTATTTAATAAATTTTAAAATATAGTTTCTATTTATTATTTAATATATAAAAGAAAAGGAAATAAGATTATTTATAAAAATATTAGTTATAAAGATAATAAAAATAGAAGTAATAGAAATAGCTAGAAAGCTTTTAATAGAAATAAAATAGAAATCTAAATAATATTTCTTTCTTTTATTTATTTCTATTAGTAAAGCTTTAAAAGCATTATTTTCTAGTTTGTTTTTACTACTTTTATTATTTTCTTCTTTTTTAATTTCAGTAATATATTATATATAAATATTATTAAAGTATTTATTAAAGTTATAAAAGTTTTAGAATCTAAATTAATAGATATTTCTATTTTTAAATCGAGTTTTCTTAGTCTTTTATTTCTCTAATATATATTTCTATAAGTAATATTTAAATCTCTTATATATAAAGTATAACTTCGAAATATAATTATTATAATTATAAGGCTTGAAATAATTATTACAGGTTCCGAAATTATAGCTGAATTCGTATTAATAATTTCCGGATAAATAGTAGCTTAAAGAATTTTAAGAATAGTATTATTAATTAATAAAAAGAATCTTAGTATTAATTTATTATTTCTTCTTATAAGTAGTAATAGATAATTAGAGCTTATTAATAAATTAGCTGAGATTAAAAGAAGAATCCGAAATTATATATTAGTATATTAATATATTTTAATAGAAAGTAATAATTTTATTATATAAGAATTTAATATTTTTTTATAAGTTAAATACTAGTTTATATTATAGTTTATATAGGTTATTAATTAATTAAATAAGCTTAAATATTATCTTTTTAGAATATTAAGCTATTATAATTATTATTATAATAGTATTTTACTTATTTAAGTTTTAATATTAGAAACTAGAGCCTTTAAAAAAGCTATAAATATTTATATAAGCCTTTTTATATATATATTAAAAGAGCTAGTTATTATAAAAGTAATTTTATATTAGTTTCTTTAATATAGTAAAGAAAACTCTTATTAATACCTTTTATAAAAGCTTTATATATCAGTAGATATTAAGAAAAATAATAAGTTTTTAATTAAAACTATTATTAGTTTTATTATATTTCTATACCTTAATTTATATCTTTATTATTTCTCTAATTAGCTTTATAATAAAAGAGCTATTTAAAAAGCTATTTAAAAGTAATAGAGGTAATAAAAATCCGTTATTACTAGCTTTCTATAGTTTAGTACTAATAAAAGCAATTATAGATAATAATTAATTTAATATATTAATTTCTTATAAGATTTATTATTAAATATATATAAATAATAGAATTTATATTAAAATCTAATCTAGTAATAATAATATTAGTTATAGTTTAGATATATTACTCTTTTTTCTAAATAGTATTAGTTAAAAACTATATAATAATAAGTTTCTTATTATTTTATTTAATATAAATACTAGTATATTATAAAGTAGCTTATAATTAATATAGTATATATTAATCTAGTTAATTAAATATTTCGAAATTAAAATTACTAAAATTATTTCTAAATAATTTCCAGAGATTATTATTAGTTAACTTCTTTATCTTATACTTAAATAATCTAATATTAAGATATTTTAGGACTTTTTTATTATTATTATTAATAATTAAATTAATATTATTTTTTTATTTCTTTATTTATATATATTTATCTTATAATTCTATTATATTAAATTTCTAGAGCTAAACTCTTTCTAATATATATATAATTTATAATAAAAGAGGTTTGAAAATATAATAGTTTATAATAAGTTTATAGAAAGAATTTAATAGTAAAAATATTTAGATATTTAGATATCTAGTTTAGATATTTAGTTTAGATATTAGATATCTAGATACCTAAAAATATTAAAAATATTAAAATAAATATTTCGTTCTTAAATATTTTATTTATAATAAGAAATTTAGAAAGTAAAATATTATAATTCCGGAAGAATCTAAAGCTTTAAAGAATTATAAAAATATATATAGAATATATATTTCAGAAAGAGAATTCTATAAATATAAGTATTATATAAATAGAAAAAACAGTTTTTAAGAAAGTAGTTTTAGAACTAAAAGAAGTTAGTTTTAAAGAATAATAGATAGTTAAATAAATAAATAGTTAAATAACTAACTATTTATTAATTAGTAAAAACTAGAGTCTTTTTCTTTAAGCTACTAGATACTTTATAGAATTAATAAGTAATTCCTCTCTTTAATAGAATAGTTTTTAGTTTTTAGTAAAAGCTAGCTATTTTTTTATTTAGGTTACTAGATATTTTTTTATAGAATTAATAAATAATTTCTTTTTTTAATATAGACTAGTTTAATTTTATTATAAGCTATTAGATACTTTCTTAGCTTAAAAGATTCTATTCTTTAATCTATATATATAAACTAATTAGTATTAGTTTACTAGTAATATATAATATTATATTAAAATTAGTAAAGTTATTATTTAGAAGTAAGAATTATAGTATTATAATATTAATATATAATTTCTAAATCTATTAAGTCTAATAGAATCTAGTTTACTAGTCGAGTTATCTATAAAATATAAAGTTATATAACTATATTCTATATTCTATATCTTATATCTTATAACTATATATATAACTTCTAAAAAAAAATAGCTATACTAATAATATATAACTTTAATATTTATATATAATTTATTTAATAAATTAAATTAGAATATAATATATTATATTATATATTTTATATTTCTAATAAATTTATATTTTTATATTAATTTATAATTTATAATTATAATTTTTTAATTAAATAATCTAATACTAATTTAAATTTTTCTTATTATTAAAATTAAATTATTTATAAAACTAAAAATATAATATTAAATAAATAAAAAGTAAACTTGGCTTATTATATAATATTAATATAATATATATAATTTAAAAATAGAAAAAGATATATTTATTTATAAATTATTTAAATATAATAAAACCTTTTTTATTAGTCTAATAAATTTATTACCTAATTATAATAAGCCTTTAATTAAAGCTTTTATCTAAAACTATTACTTATTAATAATATATAACTTTAAATTAAACAAATAAATAAAACTTATTATTTTAATATAATAAAAGTTTTATAGAAATATACTTCTCTAAAGTAATTAATAAAAGTTATTATATTTATAAAATATAAGCTATTAGATTACTTTTTAAGGAATGAAAAAGGTATATTAAGTTATATAATTCTATATAAGCTCTTATTAATAAATAATTATTTAATAAAGTCCGGCTAGTAAGCCAAGTTATATATTAATAAGAGATAATCTTATTTTTAGGTATATATCTCAAAAGTATTAAAACCGCTAAAATACTATAACTTAGTATTTTAATAACTTAATAACTATAGCTTATAATTGTCTAAAATTAGTAATCTACCTTTGTATTTACTGCCCTAGCAAGGCAGGGTCCCCGTAGAGACGTGCCTCTCGAAGTGATTAATAAAAGTGAGACCCCACCCGCGAGGTACGAACCGTAGGGGCCACTTTTTGAGGAACGAAGAAGGCATGTTATTATTTTCTACGCTAACTAGATTTTAATTATTACTCACGCCTTCCCGAAATTCGAAACAAATTCTAGATGCTTGGTACCACCTATACCTTGGCTTCTCGTCTACCTTCGAAGCGTAATAACGGAGTCCTATATGCGGCAGATAGATCAAGATACCTAATTGCCCACGATCTCAGCCTTAGTCGAGGCTGGACAGGCAGACGCCAAGATACTACCACTCCTGCAAGTCGACCTTCCCGATATTGGGCTTCCTGTGGCGTCGAATTATATCGAATACAGCTATCTTTACCCCGCTCTACGTGTAACGAAATGCTGCAAGTCGAGCTTCTCGGTCTTGAATTTTCTGTCCCACAGACCACGATCTGGATCGGTCTTATGGCTGCCTCTATCCGATAGACTCAGAATTGCTAAGTAGACGCCGCATGGTAATCCCTGAAGGGTCACGGGGCACGCATATATCCCTCAAGTATACCTAGCTCGTCTCCTATACCTCAAGTTCGCTTTACATAGTTCTAGTATGTTCGTTTGCCACTCAAACATATTCTTCTCCATCTTGCGGATTCTTCTCTAGCTCAGTATGACAATGATCAAGAACGACATCCTGCCTGCGGCTATCTATAATACTCTCCCCAACATCCGCGATGTCTTCAACGTTCCAGAGGCCAATTTGGCCGACATAGCCGATCTCAAGCATTTGCTTAAGAAGCATAATCTCTCCGATAGAGTGCGGATCAAGCTCGTCCATATACACTTCCGCCTTGAAGAGGGTGAGATCTTTTCTGCTCGAGAGATCAAAGTCCCCAAGCATGGAAGCATCAATATCATGCAACCTCTTCTCGCATCCCAGCATCAACCCCTCTATGGGCACCACTACTTTGTAGATGACCAAGGTAATCTTTTAGCCTACGAGTATATGGATGCACCAGGACCAGATTTATCGGGGCAACAATCTTTCATACAAGGGTTCTGCCAGCTTATCCAGGAGCGTGGACTTCGGCGCAAATTGGGGCTGTCGTTGAGACATGCAGGGGACAATTTCGCAAGTCACGAACTCGAATACCCGGCGATACGAACGTGCATCGACGTGCCTATTGAAATTCGACTCCCGTATAGTGAAGATAGCTTCAATACTACGACCGAGTTTATGCAAGATTGGCCAATGAGCCCCGAAGGGTTTGAGGTTGTTGGGGAGTCGGGAGCGGTCAGACAAGTACCCAATCAATACCAACATTATACACACCACAAACACTATACACACTGCCAACGCACCGACGATGATAATGGATTGTTCGATGGTACTACAAATTCTGATAAAGATTTCTCAGATGGTGAAGCTATGGATGGTCTCTATATTAGATACGGAGTCTCTGGACTGCCGCTTGATATTGAGCTCGCCGGGATCAAGCTGGATCAGTCATCCGGATTGTATGAGATCGTATCGTATATTAATAATAATGCCTAGAGGTGGCCTCTTTTTTTAAGAAAGAAGATATCTCTTTTATTATAATAATACAATAAGATTAATTGATTTATATAATTTAATATCTCTAATAATCTTAGAGTTATTATATATATTTAATTTATTCTTTTATTTTATATAATTCTAATTCTTTAATTATAAAATATTTAAATGATTTTAATTTAATTTTAAGCTAGAAATAAAAGCCAGATATCAAATAATAAAATTCATTAAATTATTATATAAAAAAGCTTACTTTTATATTTGAGAAATATACTAGTTCTTATTTAAATATTATTTATATAAACTCTATTATTTTTAGATTTTATTTATAATTTATTATAAAATTATTTGTTTTTTTAATCTATTATAATAAATCTTATTTCTTAATAATATTTATAAATTAGTAAATATATTAAATTAAATAAAAATATTATTAATATTATTAAAGAATAAAGAATAATAATATTATAATATTATATTAAAATGAATTTTTATAATAATAATAATATAAATACAAATATTTTATTATAATATTTTATTATAATATTTTATTATAATATTCTATTATTATTATATTAATATATTTTTTATTTAATTCTAGATTATAAATTTCAATTTTATATTATTTATATTTATTAATATAGCTATTTCTTTAGAAGTTATATATATAGTTATAAGATATAAAATACGAGATATAAATAATAAGATATAAAATATAAAATATAGTTATATAATCTTTACTTCTAAATAATAATAACTTTATTAATTAATATAACTAGTATTTCTATATTTATATAATAGTATTATATATTACTAGTAAACTAATACTAATTAGTTTATATATATAGATTAGAAAAGATTTTAGATTAGTTCTGAAAGTATATAGTAGCCTAAAACAAATCTAGTTTATTTTATATTAAAGAAAGAAACTATTTATTAATTTTATAAAAGTATTTAGTAACTTATAAAAAAGATAACTAGCTTTTACTAATTAATAAGTAGTTAGTTATTTAACTATCTATTTGTTTAACTTCTATTATTCTTTAAAACTAATTTCTTTTAGCTCTAAAACTACTTTCTTGGAAATTATCTTTTTTATTTATAAAATACCCGTATTTATAGAATTCTCTTTCTAAAATATATATTTTATATATATTCTTAAAGCTTTTTAATTACTACTTCGATTTTACTATTATAAATCGAGTTCTTTAAGCTTTAAACTCTCCCGGAATTATAATATTTCACTTTTTAAATTTCTTATTATAAATAAAATATTTAAAAGCAAAATATTTATTTTAATACTTTTTATATTTCTAGATATCTGAAATATCTAGTATCTTAACTAGATATCTAAACTAGATATCTAATATCTTAACTAGATATTTAAACTAGATATTTAATATCTAAACCAGATATTTAATATCTAAACCAGATATCTAAATATCTTTATTATTAAACTCTTTTTATAAACCTATTATAAATTACTTTACTTTTAAATTTCTTCTATTATAAATTATATATATATTAGAAAGAATCTAAACTCGGTTTAATATAGATACTAATAAGGAAAATAAACTAATTAAGAAATAGAAAAATAATGTTAATCTAGTAATTATAATAAAAACTAATTTTTAGAAATATATAACTACTAAAATATATTAATATATCTTATATAAGAAAAGTAATAATAATTTATAAGATTTATTTTAGAATAACTTTAAAAACTTTAATATTATAATATATAATCTAATTAATTATATATTTATACAAAATCTTTAAATATAACTTTAGTATAATAATATTTATATTAAATAGAATTATAGAAATCTTATTATTATATAATTCTTTATTAATCTTATCTAAAAGAAAATAAAAAATATATAGAATAAAGCTAATATTATTAATAATAATCTATTATATTAGTTTATTTTATTCTAGATAGAATTAAATATAAGAAAACCAGATATTTTTAATTAAGAAATTAAGCTATTTATTTACTTTTTCTAAATTAAAGCTATTTACTATTTTTATTTTTATTACTACTAGTATTGCTATTAAACCTAAACTACTATTAATTAATATTTACTATTTCTACTAGAAAGCTTATTAGAAAAGTAATAAAGATATATTTTAAAATATAGAAATTATTATAATACCGGGCTCTAGACTTAGAAAGCAAAGTAGAGTGGCTTTTAATTCGAGAATTCTAAACTAAAGAAAGAAGCTTATATATATAGAAGCTTTAATATTCTAAATACTAGCCAGCTATATATGTTATTGCAATTATATAATATTAAATTTACTAGTAAAGCGGTAGAGTATAACAGAAATATAATAGAACTAATAGTAGTTTTAATTATAAATTTACTAATATATAAAACTTTCTAAAAAAAATACTAATAAAAGCTTTTCTTATTATATTAAAGAAATTAATATAAAACTACTTCTATAATAACTAGCTTTCGAGCTATATATATAAAAAGGCTTATATAAATATTTATAATTTCTTTAAAAGTTCTAGTTTCTATTATTAAAATTTAAATAAATAAAATACTATTATTTTAGTAATTATAATAATAAAAAACCCTAAAAAAAATTGAGCTTATTTAAATACTAATTAATAACTTATATAAATTATAATATAGTCTTATTTCTATTTTATAAAATATCGAATTCCTATATAATAAGATTATTATCTTTTATTAAGGCTTACTAATATACTAATATATAGTTTCGGGTTCTTCTAATAATCTCGGCTAATTTATTAATAAGCTCTAATTATTTATTATTACCTATAAGAAAAAGTAATAAATTATTATTAAAATATATTTTATTAATTAATAATATTATTTTTAAAACTCTTTAAACTATTATTTATCCGGAAATTATTAATATAAACTCAGCTATAATTTCGGAACTTATAATAACTACTTTAAGTTCTATAATTATAATAATTATATTTCGAAATTATATTTTATATATAAGAGATCTAAATACTACTTATAAAAGTATATATTAGAGAAATAAGAAATTAAAAAAACTCGATTTAAAAATAAAAATATTTACTAATTTAAATCCCGAAATATTTATAATTTTAATAAATACTTTAATAGTATTTATATATAATATATTACTAAATTTCGTACTGCTCGCATAATGTCATGGGGTTATAACTCAAAAGTGGTCACATGGCGCTCTTTTGGCTCAACAGCGTCAATTCAAGGTCATGCTAGAGGCTTGCTGGCCGACGTAAATAATTATCGGAGGACCAGAGTCAGTTATGTCGCATGTCTACAAGGAGGGTGGAGTGCTAATTATGAGCAGCAAGCCGAGGGACAGAAGTTGATATTCGTTGCACATGACATTGGAGGAATCTTAGTACAAGCTGTAAGCACACGCTGCTCAAGTTATTTTGATGTTAAGCTAATCACCAAGCTGAATATAGGCCCTTGGTGAATCACTGATGGGAACCGACAACCTGTATCGGTACGTCGCGGGTATTATCTTCCTAGGAACTCCGCATCGTGGCTCAAGGAAGGTAGAGCACGCTGCAATTATAGTCAGAATATTGTCTGGCTTAGGCATAGGAACCAGGTCTCCAATGCTGAAGCAATTGAAACCAAACTCCGATGCTCTTCTACATATCTCTATGCAATTTCGCAAACTCCTCCGAAGGGCACCCATTCAGATATGCTCAGCATTCGAGACACGTAGGACTAGCTCGTCTGGATTGGTGAGATCTTAGATATTCTTACATCTCCTTAGCCACAAGAATCTGCTAACATTTGAAAGATTGTGGACGAGGCTGCTGCTACATTCGGACTACCAGACGAAATTTTAGTTCCTCTAGAAGCAGACCATAGGCACTTATCGAAGTTCTCAAGCGAGAGGGATATCAACTATATTCGTATATGTGGGTGGTATCATCGAGCGGTGGAGTGACCAGGCCATTGGAGCCGCCCTACTCCAAGATCATAACCCCACGTCGTCTGAGTCTCCCCGATCTCCCTTTGCTGTAACAAGATACAACAGCGAAATTCCTTGGCTTCCAATAAATTCAGAAGATGGCATTGGTCCCAACACAATACTGCCCCCGCTGCCAGGTCCTCGCCTTTTACAGCCTCAAAACGACTCGGATTTTTCAACGGGGACACCACCGCCAAACCGGGGCGATTATGCTTCGTACATTGATAAAGTGTTTGGGCTCAGTGGATTAGAGTCTCAACCGAACTCAATGACTGAAGATGGTGTTGACGAAATATGTGGACCCAGCGCAGCTGACGGTCGGTCGAGTTGGACAAATGGAAACTTGAAGGGCAAATCGAAAATGGGCACATCTCCTGATTCTCCTCCATCTCCTAGTGGACATAATCTACCACTATCAGGCAGGGAACTCGGGGAAACTGTACGGAGAGGCATTGAATCCGTTTCTTCAGCAGCAGCGATACTACTTCTGGATGGGCACCATCAACTGTGGTGGCTACAGTTGGAGGTGGTGTCGCAGGTCTTGCCTTGATTGCACAAGGCGTGGGCGCAGTGACTGCTCGAGAGAATCTGGGTGTATCAAGGGACGCGCTGGCAGCGTCTCGAAGTGCTGCAATTGCATCCGGAAATTCGGCTACTATAGCAAAAGCCGCGCTTGAATTCAACCGGGAAGTGTTTGAATACAATAAGGCTAAGGATTTGCGCGCCGGAACCTCGAGACCCAGGGATCCTGGGAATGATGGGGATCCGGGTCCGTCTGCTGCTGGGTCCTTGCCGCTGGATAGCCGGATGTTTCCTTCGTTGGCGGGTGTGAGCCGTACATTTGCTGGCTCCTCTGGATGGCAAGATGGAGAAGTAAACGATAAGTTTACTTCTCCGACAGACTCTACGGGTAACTCTACGGATTATAACATTCCTGGGATTCAGAAATATCAAGAAAAGGGCAAAGGGAAAAAAGTCGAGAGGCACCTTAACAACAACGCGTCAGGTTCGTAACCCACCAGTTGGTGAACCGAAAATAGTGTATCCATTGCTGATACCCCTCTAGTTGCTCCTAGTCAACCATCTACACTTCAGCCTGGTGACTCTCGACCCACACCAGACGGCTATCTTAAGGAGCCAGCACATTCATCAAAGGTCGCGGCGACGAAGCGAACACTCTTCGACCATGGATTCACGACAAAGCGAGTGCCTTCTCAACCGCCCTCTCCCCAACCACTTTCTCGCCGTGCAGATGGACTCGTTTCGATTCCAACACTGCCAGATTCGGAATTACAGACTGCAAAGGCATCTCCCGTTGTTGAGTCATCCAGTAGACATATGGAAGCCATCGCGACTAAAGATATGCACGAAGATAGTTCTGAGGCGACGGAGTCGTACGAAAATCGTGATGAGCAGAGGGCCGGGTCTGAGTCTGTGGCTACCAAAAGGAGGATGAGACCAGAGAGCAACCGAAAATTTCATTTTCAACTGACTTGACCGAGCATACAGTTGAAGAACACGAAGTGGAAGAACGAGGTTCCCTAAGTGTAGATGCAAGCACGAATAAAGCGATGTTAAGAGATCAGGAGGGCATTGCTATTCTGAAGCTAGATTGGGGTCTTCTTGACGTCGGGGAAACAGAGCTTGCTCCAGGAGCCAGCGAAAAGAGAGCGGAGGAACAAGTCGGCACTACCCTTCCGCAATATGGCACTAAATCCCCTGAAGAAGAGAAAAGGCAAGATGTTGGGTCTCCTGGGCCCAGCTCTCAAGACACATTGAGAGAGAAGGCAGACATTTTCGAGGGAATTCCTTGCAGGAGACCCTCCCTAGAAGGTGGGCCACCACTTTATGGGACTTCTGACACGACGATAGCTTCACATATCAACAGCAAAGACCTAGCACTGAGCGAATTGAGCGAATTGAGCGATGCCAATCTTAGTACTGACAAAATAGATGGCACAAAAGAAAATGAACCAGACGAACAAGGCCACTCAGATCATTTGGATACCAAGTTGAGAGAAGGCCAAGCAAATGAAAGGCCAGACGCGGTCCGTTTACATTCGCAATGGGGACAAGACAATCCGATCCAACAGCCAGAAAAGAGCCTATCCCAAACGGACTGTCGATCTCGGATAGACGAGGACGATGAATGCTCGAACTCGGCCCTCTTGAATCTGCAACTCATAAACGAGACGAAAGCAAATCCACCGCTGATGATACCTCCAGACCTGCCCTTGACTGGTAAGGTGAATGGACACGCTGCGATGGCCTCAGAAACCATGTAGTTCCGATGACAGAAGCTCGTTTAGTCTTCTCTGACAAAGGAGAGGAAAGAGATACACAGCTATGTCTACTCCGGTCTCACCGCGAGACCAATACCAGATGGACGAGAGAATGATGGATAATGTAGACGTTTACGATATGTCACAACAACGAGCCGAGCTTGTACTGATTACTGCCGATTCTGTTATGAACTGATGCGAGAAACAAACCGAAGAACTTCCTTCCGAAAAAGAAAATGGGATGGGACTCCCATAGAATCCGCCAATCCCGAATAGCGATGCGGCTGAAGCAGGATCACCCATAATCCCCCGCCCAACCAGCACACACCCCTACAAAGAACGGCAGCCAGCTCAAAGGCCCATCCTCAGATACAGCCCTCTCAGTGCAGGCACAAACTCATAACCAACTAAACCCGAACGGCACACCTAGCTCCCAGAGCTGTCACTGGACCCAATCCCGAACCCAATACCAAACACCAAACCCCACACCGTAATCTCAATGGAAACAACCCTCTATGCCAACTCTCGTGATATCTCGATCTCGATCACCAGACACCTAAAAACCAAGTCCAATGGAGTCATAGCTGCTGATTCTGTTGCCGATATTACCAGTGATGAATACGGGGTCAAAATGGGCGGAAAAGCCTCAATGCAAGAAGATGAGGTGATGGAGGAGTTATAGTACTTGAGAACTGGTTCGCACTTGTGAAGGGTATGCAATGCGTAGAGACTTGTGAGACTGGTAAAGAAGGAGGTAGAGGAGGAGTCTCAAGGATCTCAGAACGTAAGCGTCTCCGCAATGTATTAAGAAATTGTCGGATATCCATTGCTTGATCTGCGAATCGCCTCAATTGCATTGTTTATCAGTATATTATATTGACTAGTGATATCTACTTGCAAATATGTGGATAATTAATGACATTATACCAGGGTGCTGCCACGTGACCTGTCCCCCCCTTTATAAACCGCTTAAAATCACAATGCGTTAGCCATATAGTAATGAGACAGTGTCACCACAAATTTGGTTTCATCCGAGACGGAATACAGGAAATCGAGAAGAGACGAGATGAGAATTAAGCTGGGAGGAGAACGAAAAGGAGGCAAGAACGAAAGTAAAGAATGAGATGAGAATGTGAAAAGTAAAAGAAGAATCAAAGATGGGAGAAGAACTAAGCAGGTGATGAGAGCTAAAGGTGGGTTAAGAACAAGAATTGTGAAGGAAGCTGGTGTACCTTTGTTGGTGGCACTGGCCATCCCCCTCTGATGCAGTATTATGTATATTGCGCAACACATTGCACCACCACAATCTGGTTATGCAGTGCAAGATTCAACAACATCACGTCTTTATATTGCCTCTTTCCTATCATCTAAGACAAGCTCAACCTCTCAAGCCTATTCTTCGCCGCCTCCACCAGCGCAGACTCACGATCCAAAAGCCCCATAACCTGTGCCATCTTCGCCTTCCGAATCTCAGACGGCACCTTGACATTCTGTGGCGTCGCGACTTCATCCTCCCCCTCCATACCATTGATCTCCGCAAGCAGTTTTTCCTTCAGCATCTTGACTTCATTGAATCGTTCCCAAGGCTCCTTTGAATTTTTCGCTAGTGCATTACCGCCTGCTTGTTTCGTATCGGTCTTATTATCCAGAGTCTGGACCTCATCGATCCACGCCTTCTCCTTGTCGCTCAGCTCTCGATTGGATCCTCGGGTGGCTTTCCGTCTCACATCTTCAATGCGGTTGTTAAGCTCTGTTTGCCTCTCTCTCGCAGCATGGATTCGTTTCTCCACCTTCTCATTTGCGGCAATTACTGACTGTCCATCTTCCACGTCGTCACTTGTGATCGCCTTTATGCGAGTAGCTACATCACGCGCCTTGTGAATGTGATTCTTCAAGTCGAGTTGTAATTTCTCACAGCGTCGGAATAGTTCCGCAGCCGCAGTCCCGACGCGATGCGTCTCTTCACTGATGACTTTGTGTGCTTCGGTAATGATTGTAAGAGTAGCCGGTGAGAGTCGAACTTCTTCCTGCAACAGTCGTTTGTATTTGCCATGCCGCTGTCTCTCGATGAATGTCGGCATCGCGGAACTCTGCTGGAGGGTATGTGCAGGTTCGTAACATGGCCTTGGCTCGAAGAAGATCAAAGGCTTATCGGGTTCCGGGTCGTATGTGGGTGAACGAGATCGGCGATCAAGATCAAAGTGTATATCGGGAGCCTCGAAAGTCAGAGCAATGGGACCATGTGACGTAGCAGTGAGAAGGAAGTATCCAAGGTCAGGATCTCGAATAACGGCGCTTGCAGCGAGCGGGGTGGATTTATCGTTCGAGTTTTGGGTGAGAAGTCTCTCTCGAAGTGAGCTCTGGCCTTGAGCCAAAAGGCCAATCCGGAAATCGGTTCCAGCGGTTGCTTCATTCAACTCCGTCTCCAGGCGGAAAACCCAAGGGGTGAGTGAGATGAAAGTAACGCTCGAAGTATTGGTGATATAGAAGGAGTATCGAGAGTTGACGTCGTGACTGAATACTGGCCAGTTGCCTTCCCAGACCTCAAGCCCCCGTGAAGTGTCCAAAACCTCGAATGTTAGCAAAGATGGAGGATCAGAGTCTTCGACAAATCGGAGCCTCTTCTCTTTGGCTTTGGGTAGCCATTGTGCCTCTACCCCATCCAGATCCAGACAAACAGAAAGTCGGCCACTGGTCGTGAGTAGACAGACGATCCCAACGGACAACCCTTCCTGATCAACTTCGTCCAGCTCCAAATCATCTTCCTCTCCAAACATTAATTCATCAGCGTCCATCTTGGGCCCAATAACACAGATATCGCTCAAAAGTCCGTCGAGCTCATCTTCTGACTCTTCGGGAGCAAGGTCAAGGTCGAAAGGGCCCTGCAATTTTGGTACTCTGCCCGGCTTACCGGGTCTAGTATAAACTTCCGCGGGAGGTTCACCTGGAGGCCCTTCGCTGTGGAGGGGTTCCTGGTTATCGATTTCTGACATCCACTCAAGTTGTTGCTGTGCCAATAGCTTGCTCTGTGGTGAAGCTCCTTGCTCATCTTCTAAAGCCGCAACTTTGGCAACGATCGAGACAGACAAAGAAGGGATGAGAGTCGGTGGTGGTGACCATTTCTCGGGCAGCAGCGGGCAAAGAGCATAAACATCGCCCTCCCTCATAGCAATCCATAAAGTCATTGGTGACCATCCTCCGCTTCCTCTGCCGGCAAAGCAAGCTGATGCCACTTCCATCTCAAACGAGTCTGGAGAGAATCCCTTGCTCGTTCCATGTACTGATGCTCCGAAATCTTGATCAACGGATGTCCCATCTGCCAACTTTTTCAGATCGATGGCAAGCGTTGGCCGGTCGAAAGACCATCGATCTGCAATAGATAATTCCCATAGCCGCACAATAGCATCTTCCGTCACCGTCACCAGACATGTTCCATTCACGCCTAACGGATGCCACAAAGCTGAAGCAATTCCCCACTGCGATGTAACATGTGTTGTAGGCCCGAGGGTATAGTACTTCAGCTTCATTGGGGCAGTATCCGCAGCAGTGAGCAGTGAAGGTTCGGGTAGAATGGCAACATGGACCGTATGAGTCGTCAAGATCGCTATGTAATTGGCATGTGGTGAGATGATGAGCTGTCGAATGTCTTCCGCAACTTGGGTTTTGATGGTCTGCAACTGTTAATTGGAGCAGAGGAATGGCTTCTGGAGAACTCACCCGATATCCCTGAGCATGATCTCCCTCATACTGATTGTCACCGTCCCCTCCCTTCTCCTTCCCAAAGGAATTTCTCGACTGCTTGTCTTCCCATGCCTCCTTCAGGTAGACCAGATCCGCCCAACGAATCTCTCTACCCACAGCTATGAAAACCTCCGTTCCGCGGCGCGCAATAGTTCGACGAGGTCCAGGCTTCGCACTCCGTTTGATACTCGCGCTCGATCCATTTGATGAAGCAGGCTGGGTGCTCATAACCTTCGAAGTAAATATTTCATGACCAGGGTTAGGCTTCGAGAGCCACGCCGGCGTGTAGCTAATAACCTTCGGCATATTGATGTATTGAGGGGGATGAGAGCTTCAGAAGCTTTGCAAACTCAGTATCTTATTTAAAAGTCATGAGTCAGGGGTGTGCAACGAGCGCAGAGTTGGTTGTTGGTGTGTTGTTGACAGAGGTTTCCAACTCCTTCGACTTTTTTGGAGGTCGACGTGCTTCAAACTGGCTAGAACTAGCGCGTCGCGAAACTCCAAGGCTGGCAAAGCTCCAAAGAAATTAACAGCTTCAGACAACGCACAATCAAACATGCCAGCAGCGATTCCGAACACTGTTGACAGGCTTGATAAGCCGAGTGCTTATTACCAGAGTAGAGTGAGTAATTCGAATTTGTGGAGGCCTCACAAGAAGAGTGCTGGACTGACAATCACTTTCTCTTTCAGAACAAGAAACGCAAATACGACCGAGATGGCGACGAGGGAAGAGAGAACACGCCTGAGGAGCCGGCGGAGGACCCGCTGAAGGATGCGGCAACTCTTTACGTAGGAAATCTGTATGCATTTCCCTGGCTGGATGGTTTGGATCAGCTCACAATCTATAGGTCCTTCTACACAACGGAAGAGCAGATCCACGAACTGTTTTCTAAATGTGGAGAGATCAAGCGGTTGATTATGGGACTGGATAGATTCAACAAGACGCCGTGTGGTTTCTGTTTTGTGGAATACTACACCCATCAGGATGCACTGGATTGCATGAAGTATATTGGGGGCACGAAGCTTGATGAGAGGATCATTCGGACGGATCTGGATCCTGGATTTAAGGAGGGAAGGCAGTATGGAAGGGGAAAGTCTGGCGGCCAGGTGCGCGATGAGTACCGGGAGGAGTATGATGAGGGGAGAGGTGGTCTTGGTCGTGCTATTCAAGCAGAGAGACTGAAGGAGGAAGAGGAGTACGGCAAGGGTAGATAGGCTCTGCCGTCTTTATGGTGTTCATGGCGTATGGGGACATATGGGATGGGAGCATTGATCACCACAAAAGGAGTATGCATTTGACTTGACTGATGGAACGATCACAATATAGTCTTGAAACTTGTGCCATTCTACTGATGATTCGACGCACCACACAACCCAATCTTCAGGCCTTCTGCCACCGATCTTCTTTATGATGTACATCCCAACCAGAACGCCGCTCTTTTATGCTTCCCAAGGTACTATGGTACACCGTGCCAAATAATCGATCCATCCGATCAGTATCCAGGAGGATTGACTCGTTGGGAGACTCTCGTCCACTTCGGCAGCTCTGCAGAATAATCAGCTCCCCTTCTCCTTTAAGCAACTCATTCCGGAGAAACTCACTGCGTATGCTCTTCCTATACTTCTTCTCCTTCCTATCAAAAATCGTGTACTTGTCCTTCGGAACCATCTCCTGCTCAACCGGCATCTCCTCCTTCCACCTCTCCACGGCCTTCGTGGTAATCCCCTGCTTCGACAAAGCTCTATCTACGACCGCTACCACACTATCGACAGCCCGTAACCGCTTGCGTTGTCGCGCTTTCTGGAATTTGGAGAGCCGCCATGGGATCTTCCTGCACACACAATTCTGTCAGCCCGATGCCCCAAAGTTCACAATTGAGGAGACAATTGGGGGAATGTACCATAGAAGACCTCCAGATAACACGTTCGTAGGTCTGAACGCTCCAAACATTGTGCTGGTCCTGAACGCAAAAATATGATCCGACGTTGAAGCTCCAAAGAATTATCAACGCCAGGCACATTTTGCGCAGCCAATCAGCTCTCTTCAGTTCATCTCCACCTCCACACTCAAACACAACTCCAACCTTACTCCTCCACGAAAGAAGGAACAATGTCGTATTACTTTGCCATTATTGGCACACAAGATAACCCGCTCTTCGAGCATGAGTTCGGCACTTCGAAGCAAGGCGGCGATGGTATTGCGCGGTTCCCAGAGCAGGCAAGGCATATGAACCAGTTCATTGTTCACAGCAGCTTAGATATCGTGGAGGAAGTGCAGTGGGGAGGTGGACAAATGTATGTCCCCCCTTCCTCTCCTCCTCCTCTCTTAATAACCCTGATATTCCAGGTATCTCAAGTGCATCGACCGCTTCTACAATAACTACGTTTCCTGCTTCGTCACAGGCGGAAGTCAGTCTCCCCATATTCCTTCCGTCCCTTCCCTTCCCCCTTTCTCCACCTCCAGGCACAAGAAACGAACTGACAAGCAAATGGGTATAGACGTCAAATTCCTCCTCCTCCACGCTCCCTCGCAACCCGCCGGCGCAAACCAAAATCGAGCCAGCACCTCCATCGCCGCGAACCCTACGTCCCCCCAGGCGGAAGAGGCGATCAAACAGTTCTTTACCGAGGTGTATGAGAATTGGGTGAAGACAATTATGAATCCGTTTTATCAGGTTAATATGGAGGTTAAGAGTCCTGTGTTTAGGGGGAGGGTGGCAGCGGCAGGGAAGAAGTATCTTTGAGTGTGGGGAAGAGACGAAGAAATAATCATTTGGGGAATGAGGATGGCTGCTCTGCTTGAGCCGAGGACGGGGAGAATGACTTACTCGAGAAGTGGTTCAGCGGGGAAGGTATATAGCCTCTTGAAGCTCTTGCTATTGATACCGTTTGGGGGCAGCCAGGTGCCAGCTCCGTCAAACATCTGGCCAGAATACTCGCTCAACCATGAAGGTGGCTCGCGGGAGATCCATTCCGGTTGGAACGTTGATCTAGGATGGAGCAAGATATGTAGAGGGTGGGCACAAGAGAACTCAAACACTGGGCAGTGGGTAATGTTGGAACTGATGAATCCGGTTTCAAGCTCGTGAGCTATTTGAGTCATCGAGGAAGCATAACTACGGCTGAGCCAAGCAATGTTGCTTCTAGCTTGCGTCAGAACTTTTAGACGTCCGGCCACGTTCAAGAGATAGGCGAAAATCATTGCAGGCCAAGATTCAAGGCCTCTTTACATTCTTATATCTTGCATCCCGTTGTTACAGTGTAACCCTAGTGTTCTGTCTTTTCCCATCCGATAATTAAAACTGAAACAACTCCTTCTGCTTCCTTGCCCCATGGCCCTCACAACAATTGCAAGACACGCACGTACCAAAGATAGAAACTTAAGACCCATCAAGAACGGCGCGTCTCATGCAAAAACTAGTCGTTGGGTGTAAGCGTCCAAAACCCAAGAAAGATCTATTTTGCAGAGTTGGGGGGGGGGGGGGGGGGGGGGGGGGGGGGGGGGGGGGGGGGGGGGGGGGGGCAAGGGCCTGCTTATCGTGAGATCCGCCTCTCACTCGGGCGGGCTCCATACCATTCCTCTCTCAACAAGCTTGTAGTTCGCCCTATTCCTTGCGCTGCCACCCTCGGGTCCTCAACTTGTAATGTTCCCGCCCTGGAACTCGAACTTGTTCTCTGGCTCTCAATCTCTCATAGAATTACCAAGATTCCATTATACCATACATTCTATTCATCAGCATGGGTGACTTAGAGTCCAAATCTGGATCATTCCACTGGGCCAGGAGCATTCAACTTGTGAGATTGTAATTTCATGTACCAGCAAAATCCCGTGCATTCAAGACAGAGACCCCCTACACCTTCGGTAGGTAAGTGCGGAAGAAGAAAGGGAGGGATGTTCGAACAATAGCAAATGACTGTTCATTGAATGCAACATAAAATTGTCCAACACATGCGCGAAAAGGACATTTTTGCAAGCCTCAGCCACTGGATGATTCGTTAACCGAGACGATCGCGAACCAGTAAGGTGCGAGGCAAGATTATCATACTGCAGTACTAGATCCGCCATGGAAGAAGGCGGGCTCATGCAGGCGGCAAATAGGCAACTGCTGCTGCTAGATAGTCCTTTGGTTTCTTGAATACATTTTGGTGCTTGAGAGGAATACTTTAGAATTGTGGATGAATTAGGGGAAGGCGAATGCGATTGAATGAGATACTTGACACGGGGTGTGGTTGACAAAAATGTGAGGAAAGGAGCATTGGTGAGGTGAAAGGGCATGATTGAAATCACGTGACGATGTTCTCAAGTAGCTTCGAGAAGATTCATGTTTTTGTTGAATGTTCCCAGAGTAAAGGGAGATTCGAGAACTTTGTCCATTGGTCTTAGAGGTTTAATGCATTGCCGCTGGATGTTATGTTGCAGCCAAGACACAGGTTCCATGCAGAGTTCATAATTGTCTGCAGTCCTGATGAATGCATCCACTGTAAACGAACCGTCCAGTGCCAGCAGTGCAACACCAAATTTTGAGTGATGTTGCAATCAGACTTGAGCTGGGAATAGACGCGGAGAATATGAGCGAAGAGCTGAAGACATCAGATAAAATGAAAGGCTTTTGGCCTTTATCGCACGACAATTGCAAGTAGCTTTCCAATCGAAGATCATGTTTCGACATATGGGAAGATAACCAAGCGCTTCCAGTGATGTCATTGAAGTGTGAACGAGATGGAGAATTGGGCAAACTGTTGCTCGAGTTGGGTGTATGTACTTGCAGCCGGGGGATATCGGAGTCCAGTGCGGGTGTTCCCCCCCCCCTCCAGATCCAAGTATGCCCTGGTTGCACGACAACGGAGCCGAACTTCACATCTGCTCGCTGGATATATCGCTGGGGTAATTCATCACGCGATGTAGCGCTTTCCCAAGGGTCCAGGGCTAGCAGCGGTCGGAAATGATGGAGTCTTCTCATTAACGTGGGAGAGCAACCGATCGAGTTTTAGGATTCGAAGAGTTCGTAAGCTTAGCGAGATAGTGCGGATCGTCGTGAATGTCAATCTCCAAAAGGTCAAATAAAACATCAGGAAGGATGAAGCAAGAGCTGAGCAATGTCGAAGAGAGCATGCCTCGACACGTCCAGAAGTGTAACATGGACCAAACTTGGGCCAATTAGAGCCCAGACTTGTCTGGTTCAGTTTCAATCAACTTGATCCCTTCCAAGATAATCAGAGTCAATAAACGGAGCATCAACATTCGAATTTCAGGATTCCAAAAATTTGTGAAGGTTGGAGAGAGATCTCGAGAGTCGCGTTGTTGTTGGTCCGCGCTCCCACGCTAGTGCTCGCTAATCAGTCCACCCCTGACTTCCTCGCATGATTGACAAAACATGCACCAAATGCAGGGCCGCTTTGCACCCGCGAAACGAAGGATTTTTGAGAGGGCTTTTCGATGCGCAACTTCCATTTACCGAACAGGCTTAGCGCGCCTTCCAAAACCTAATCACCACCGCAAGCGCCTCCGTACAAAACCAGGCCTTCTCGCTCCCCGCTCCATTTTCTCTTCTTTCCTACAATCACGATATCGACCACCGACACGCATTTCATCAGCAACCATCACAACACCATCGACCAACGCGTCATTTCATCACCAAACAACTCTTACATCCTTCTAAAACAATTTCATCATGACTGGACGTAAGTACATCTCTTCCCCGTCGCGTTCCTCGCGATATCCACGTAGTCGTTGCCTCACGGTCGCATCTCGACTTTGGTTCATGGTGTTTGACCTCAACTCACCTTCGACCAATCAACGCGCATCTCAACACAACATCAACATTTTCATGAACCTTTACTGACTTATTCCAGGCGGAAAGGGTGGCAAGGGCCTCGGCAAGGGCGGAGCCAAGAGACATCGCAAGGTTTGTAGTCGCCGCTCAACTCCATTCCTTCATCGCTAACCTCCCAGATTCTTCGTGACAACATCCAAGGTATCACAAAGCCTGCCATCCGCCGTCTTGCCCGCCGTGGTGGTGTCAAGCGAATTAGCGCGATGATCTACGAAGAGACCCGTGGTGTTCTGAAGACCTTCCTCGAGGGTGTCATTCGCGACGCTGTCACCTACACTGAGCACGCCAAGCGTGAGTTAACCCCAAATCACGACCTTGACGCGTTACTGACCCTTTCACAGGCAAGACTGTCACCTCCCTCGATGTTGTCTACGCCCTCAAGCGCCAAGGCCGCACTCTCTACGGTTTCGGTGGATAGAATTCTCGACCCTGCCTTCGTTCGCTCTTCGTATTTTTCGATATATCAATCTTCGGTTACGACTTCGGTGGATGACGATGGGCACATGATTCCTTTGATAGTCTACGGACGGTCTAGCAGCCTGTTTACGGGCGGGTTTCGCTCATCCCCTTTCATCGGCATTCATATTCGACATCGACAGGCTCAACATGATCTCATCGCAAATTCTTGGCATTACCTTTTGATAGTCTTCGGATGGTCTAGCATGCTGTTTACGGCAGGGGTTTCCGAGAATCTGTGCACGAGTCTTCCGCGCTGGTTGAGAGAAGGGTGGAATGGATGGTGGTTTTCAATGGTACATGCATTTTTGCTTTTCCGGCGTTTGGGAGGACTCCTGGTCTGGACGTGGGCGTCTGGAGGGAGGGATTTGCGAGATGAGACTCTCACCGCGATGACTGCACATCAATGACATTGGCCAAAGGCCCTGATACCTGAGCATTTTCCCGTCGTGATGTGACGTGATTTAATTACAACGTGTAGGCAGCAGCAGTTGCAGTCGAGGCGTCCACGATGGACAAACTAGAAGTGGGTGATTGCTAAGGATTGTTCATGCTTTCTAGGTGCCATCAGCGAATCTCCTGCCTTTCGTGAGTGAAATATAAAATCCTAGTTCGTGGCGGGGCTTCGTTGCTTTCGAACCTGCGTATTCTCTTCCGATTTAGAGGTATGATTCACACTTCCAACATCTTTTCGGCAATGCCGTCTGCCCTTCTCGGTACTCGATTCTTGATTCATGAACCTTGTGCAGCATTCCCACTGCATCCACTAGTGCATCGAGCTGGCTATCAAATATCTCGCACTTGCGCCAATCCTCCTTCTCAACCTTCCGTCAACAACACCACATGTAAGCATTTCCATCTTGCATTCGCATCCTGTTGAAAGCAAGATCCTCAAATAACGTCGCAAGTTTCGTTCCCTAGCTTCCCTTGTCTCAGATCTCCTGTAACCTTACACTTCGGTCAAGCAGGCACTGGCGCTGAGCGAGAACTGATCCTGGTCGTTCACGCATTTCCCTTACAGATCCAAACCCCCGCTCCTCGCGTTAATTTAGCGCTAAGAGACAACGAGTGAGGCGATGGTTTTGAACCAGCCGCACGGCTACACATCGGCATAGCTTTAATCTTCTGTTCAGGTAGAAGCAATTAAAGATTGAAAAGCTGGGTTTCCATATTAACTGTTTTTTAGGAAATACCATGGGCCCCAAGTGGCACCATACGGCCGTGTGCCTGTCCATATTCATGTATTATTGTATTCACGAGTGAGTAGTTTTTTATATATTGTTATTATCTTTACGGAAGTACATTTCTACTTCGATGATTCAAAGTGGATAGTCTCCATCCTCACTTTGCTAGAGATGTCCTTCCTGCTAGTTTGTTTTAAACTGGTTTCATGAATGAAGTGAAAAACATGAATGATGCCTCTACTCAATAAGCGACTTTAAGCAGTGTCTTCC